GTTACTAATGCACCTAAACGCGTGCGCGCCCCTCTCGAGAGTGCTGCAGAGACGCTGGAAACATTTAGGCCTCAGTATAAGCCACGCGTTCGCAATCCTATTTAAACCAATGTATTATTTTACCTACAGTACTATCTAATTGTCGCTCTCGAAGTCTGGATCATCGACGGGCGGAATATACTGATCCATCTGCTCCTCTTCCACCTCGGAAAGTTGTTCATTCTCCTCTCGCCCCTCAACATCTTCCTCGGATTCATCGTCCTCGCGAGGATTTGATTCTTCTTCGTCAGATTTTTCGGACTCGTCATCAGAATAATCGATGCCGTGTAAGGACTCATCCCCCGCATCATTTCCATCCTCCCCTTCGCCCTCGCTTTCAGGTTCCCCGTCTGACTGGGTGTCCATTGCATCGTGATCCTTCAGAACTTCGTCGATCCTTCTCTGCATCTCCACGTCCCAATCATCGTGTTCCTCCCCACTCAGCACGTCCTTGACGATGTCCGAATATGCGGTACTCTCCTCGATGAATTTTGCGATCCCGCTGTCCTCGAGTTTTTCATAGCCGCGTGCGTAATAATTGAGTGACGCATGGCCCATGGTTCGCCCCGGCCGATATAGGTGAAGTTCGTCCTCCTTATACATGCGGAGGAGCTGTTGGAACTCGTTCCGAAGGTGGGGAGCTCCATGGGTTTTGCCGCGAGGTTTTAACTCGAATGCTGACTCCATTTGCTCCTTCATCCGAAGGAATTCCATGACGTTTGGCGCCAGAGTGTGACGGTAAAAATGGTCGTCGAAGTCCCCTCCCTTGTGCTCAACTAATTCTTCGAGCCACTTGTTGAAATCCTCCTGAATCCAATCGCATTCCATGTATTTGCTCTTTGGACGGGGTTTTATGAGCCAATTGTTGAGCATGGCAAACGAGAAGTCTTTTGAGGCTTCATAGCGATGTAAACAGTACGTTTCGAGGAGGTAGTTGGCGTAATTTCGATTTGTGGAGCCAGAAAAACAGAAGATCCAGATCTGCGGCAAGACAAGTTAATTTGGTTTTAAGGAGCGGTAGGAACCATACATACCTTCAGGATTTCCCAAACCCGCCCAATTTCTCCATCCGGGACCGCATGATGAGCAATAACCCACCAGCCCATGTCCCGCAAAAAGAGGGCTTCGTTAGCGATAACACGATCGCCGTTGAAACCGTCGGCCTCAACATGAACCGTGGGAGACTTCTTCCGCCTGCCGCCATCCTCCGATTCAGAAGAATGATCATCCTCTCCTGCTTCATCTACAACCACACCGTCAACCTCGTCGTCCTCGACTGCCTGTTCCTCGTCCTCGGTTGCACGAGGCCCGGCGGCAGGTGGTACCCAAGGAGTGCCCAGCGGGACCTTCATGTCCGAATGAGCTGAGTCAAACAAATCTTTGTTGACGCCTTGCGCGTACGCTTTCTGTGATGCGTATCGCACAACCAGTTTGCGTGCGGTAGCCCAGAGTATGTCAAGATCTGGTAAGTTGACCTTGGGGTCTGCGAAATGTTCGATTAAATCGTCGGCGCCGAACGAGATACTAAAAGGAAGTCAACTCTGGAAAATTAATTTAGGAGCTTAACTTACCGCCAACAGTCCAGCACGCGGGCCTCAAAAAACAATATCATGCTACGGGAGGTGGGGAAAAAGTCCACCTTCTTGAGGTTCGATGGCCGCTTTGCTCCGGCGGCAGTTGCACTCTTTGAGAGTGAGGAAGGATCAGTTGCGGAGGCCGGGCCGTAGGCGTTGCTCGAAATCGCATTGAGTTTAGTCCATCGCGTGTGCCAGATCTCGGGGCCAGGAGGAACAACATGCCGGAATGCCTTGTAGTGCTCCGGATGAGCGGCGAGGAATTTTTTAATTCGCCATATTGCGGCGATGGATGCCCCGTCTCCACGAGGCATAAAAATCAACCCCTTCATTGCTTCCTCGTCGAGTCCCATCTGTTGCAGAAAATCTAGAAGGGCACGCATCATCCCTTGAGTTTCTGTGGAGTGCTCGCCGTTGGTTCCAACCGGCTGCATGACCGTGACGCGATCCTTCGGCAGTTGGTGTTTCCGCATGCGCGGCAAATTAAATGCTGCGTTGACGATGGGGCGAAGGTAGGCGAGTTGGGGAATGAAGTAAACCAAGATGCGGACCCAGTGAAGTGCCGTTAATTCCTGGATGTACGCCCAATCGATGTCGGCATGTAATGACTGGATTGTCATGTTGCGGCGTTCCTGCAGCATTACTCGATCAACGTGATCTTGAAGGTTAAATGCGCCAGGTGCGCAGTCCTCCAGGAGAATTGCGGTCGCTGCGGTCCCGACTTTAAGGACATCCTGGCGGCCCAGACGATGATCACGTTGTCGGCAGAACTCCTGGACGTTGTCCAAAACGAGCTGCCAATACATGGTCCCGTTCTTTATACCCTCAGCCACAGAAGCACGTAATTTGGCCATACTTGCGTCCGTGAGACTGTCGAGACAGGCACGAGCGGTTGTATCGTGAACTGTGAAACCAAAACGGCTGAAAATCCGTTTTTCCGCAACATGGGTTCTGCAGGCAAACTGCCACACGGCTAGTGGGAGTGCGAGGTATCCCGTTGCGTACCTGTTGCGCGACAGCGTTAAAGAGCTGATGACACCAACTTGTACCTGGGACTGTGGTTCAGGTTTGAATAAATTACAAAGAGAGAAACATACTGCAGTATGTGGGCGTCTTTTCCGCACCACAATTACGCCGTTTACTGTTGGTGCTCCCATGCATTCAGTAGTGTACCACACTGCACGAGCGCGGCGCTGGTAGATTGACGCAATGCGTGAAATGCTCAAACGGCCAAAGCTGTCCCAAGTTGCGAGTCGCACATTCTTGGCTCTGCCGTTTGTTGAGGCGCGCAATTGAGTAATATCCGATGGGTCGGTAGGGTCGTTCTGTGTCAGGTCACCGACCTGACGCCGCAACTCTTGCCCCACAAGCTGGAGGGCCCAGGTCGATAGAGCCGGACGGGCACAGGCGATGTCCCGTGGGGTGATATCTGGTGGCGAAAAATACATTGCATCTTCGGGAGAGTCTTTGGGCGCCCGACTCTGCCGATGATTGTATAACAAGTTGATGATAGTGGCCATCGTTACGTTGGATTCACCACCCAAGAAGGCAGCAACTACGCGAACATGGCGGACGGTACGAGGGTCGGGGACTCCAGATATGCGGTTGTAGAAAAGCACCTCGAGAAAGTGCCCGAGCGATCGAAAGTCTTTGGTAATGGTCTCCAAGAGGGAATCAACCTTTTGCCATTCAGTTCTTCTTGGTTTCCGAAGCCTCGGCTGGGTAGAAGGTGTATTGGTGGGGTGCTGAGAGGGCGCCACAGTTGTCGTCAGGGCCAAAGGAGCCAAAGGCTGCCTCTGCGGGGTCTTGTGGTTCCGGGGGGATTTTGACGCTGCGTAGAAGGTTTGTGGAGTGATTACATCCATCCTAAGTAGTGCGTCCGCCATTGTGTGGCTTCAGACCGCGTCAATGCGCGTCGAATAGGCCGAGACGCGTGAAGATAAATGAGTTGTTTGGTTATGTATTTCGGAAATATCACATCATTATATAATAACGCAGGACGCCGCTTATCGGACGCGGTAACTAACAGACTGTAACTAGCGAGGAACGAGCTAAGTCGTTACAGCGTCTGTCTTGGAGAGACTAGGTCAGAACAGAGCGGTAAAATAATACCACCAAGTCTCCACGCGCTTTTCGGAACAACTGCGGAGGAAGAAACACCAGAGAATCGATGCTCACCGCTTCCGCATAGGTGCGGTCCTGTTCCAATGGTTTTCTTCGGGGACATGCATCCTTACTTGTGCTTCAGATATCCCGAATTCCAACCGCGGCGCTGGGCACGTACGAATGGCCGAAGGAAAGCAAAGGGAGCGGGGCTGCCCGCGATTAGTCACGAATTTTTCAAACTGAGCTCCGTAGGTCTATCCCTTTGTACTCCTCATCCTCCGGAGGACTCGGTACCTCATTACGGCCGTTCTGCACCTCCGATCGCCGGCCTGCCTCAGCTCGCATACGCAGGTTAAATTCCAGAATCTGAAAACCAACTGAAGCTGCTTCTCAACGAAGGTCGGTACATCTATTTATTGAAGTCTGACCAGCAATGTTGGAACCTTGAACTACTCTTCAAGCTGCGAACGATAAGACCAAGATTTACTTCTGTGGCGTCTGATACTTGTGTTTCTCTTGAAAACACGGTGGCCCGAGCGTTAATTTTGACCTGGACCGATGATTAAAACTGCCCGGCTACCAAAGTTTGAAGCTAGGTCAATAAGGCCTGGTAGCATTTGGAACGCATCCGGATGTAATACTGGAAACCACCTCATCACACATATTTGGAATTACCTCGTTCGAATGGAGGTCGGGTCGTTGGGGAATGCGGGAAATGTTCCCCCCCTCCCCCTCTCACAACCATTTCATCGCGAGTCTTCAGTTTGTTTGGGTGGAGATTCAGAGCTCAGGTGACGAATCGTCCTAACTTTCGGACTTTAAATCAAGGCTCACTTGTAGTGAAAGGCGCGGTGTCCAGGGAGAGGCTTTGAGCTGAGACGGATTGGTTCATCTAACCCGACTACTCTTGATGGAGGAAAGGTCGGAAAGGCCTTGCTACACCAAAGCAATACAAAACGGCGGCAAAAGAAGGTTACGAACCATCCACCCAAAGGGCCCAGGCTCGATTCGAACGAGCACCTCACAATTCAATCAGCAACCCTCTTGCTATTGTAAGCCAGTGCGAACCACCGCTACTGGGCCTTTCTTGCTCGCTGGATAACTTAGTTACACGGACAATTTTCCTGTAGACTGTCCTGGCCTGTCGCTGGATCTTCGTGCCTCAACCAATTCAAGAGAAATTCAGCGCGCTGCTCTGGTCGCAGGTCTACTGGCGTCGTCGATTGAGTAAATCTGCGCAAGTCGGACAACGGAGGAAAATAATGTCGCGAGATTTTGCTAGGACCCGGGCTCGATTCGAACGAGCACCTCACGAATTCGTCTGGGCGAAAATTTCGAATAGTGTACGGGTGCGGACCACCGCTACCGGGCCTTTCTCATCTGCTGACTAACGCGGTTAGACCGGCAAGTTTTCTGTCGCCATTTTCCGCTCAACGCCAATGCAAATTCCCCATCCTCGCCGGCGCATCTCTTCCCGCCGCTTTCCTCACGGTCGTCGACTCCATGTTACACCGCGAGGCGAAAGAAATACAAAACGGTGGCAAAAGAATATTTCGACCTATCAGCCCAGGGTCCAGGCTCGAATGAACGAGCAGCTCGCAGGTCCATGTGTTTCAAACAAGAGCACCGATGTTGTGAGCGAGTGCGGACCACCGCTACTGGTCCTTTCTTACTCCCCGGTGACCCTGGTTACACTGACGACTTTACTGTTGGTTTTCCTCACTCAAGGAAATTAAATCTCTGATCAGTGCCGGCGTGTCTCGCCTCTGGTTCGCCCGCCGTCGTTACCCTCGTGCTGGTCTACGAGCCGAAAAAAATACAAAACGGCGGCAAAAGAAGTTCCTGTTGCCACCATAGGGCCCAGGCTCGAATTGAACGAGCACCTCAGAATGGACCTTAAACATTGTGAGCGAGTGCGGACCACCGCAACTTGGCCTTTCTTACTTCCCGGTTAACTCAATTACAGGCGACCTTTCTGTCGGCTTTACGCACTCAAGACTCAACCAGGCGAAAGAAATACAAAACGGCAGCAAAATGATGTCAGGAACCGTCGACTCAGGACCCAGGCTCGATTCGAACGAGCACCTCGCAGGTTAATGCATTGGAAGTGAAGAATAATTAATGTAAATGAGTGCGGTCCACCGCCACTGAGCCTTCTACGTTGCTGGTTAACTCGATTACACCGACACCTTGTCTCAAATTTTTGGTCTCCACTCGCTGGATCTCCGGTGGCTCACCCGATTCAAAGAAAATTCGGCGGGCTGCTCTGGTGCCAGGTCTACTGGTGCCGGTCGATTGAGCAAATCTGCGCAATTTGGACACCACCGCTACTGGAGCTTTCTTGCTTGCTGGTGAACTCAATTACATCAGCGACTTTTCTGTGGGTTTGGCTCATTCCATCTGCATTCCTCAAGGAAAATTAATTGCCGTCTCGCCCGCCCCAACCTTCCGGTCTCTGGGCTGCTGGCTATTGTCTACTCTGTGGTATACCTCAAGCCAAAAGAAGAATTACAGTGACTTCTTCGTAGGGCCCGGGCTTGATTCGAACGAACGACTCGCAAGTGAATCTGCTTCAAGTTCAAGAAACTACCAACAATCTGAGCAAGTGCGGACCACCGCTACCGGACCTTTCTTGCTTGCTGGTTAACTCACTTACACTGAAGAGTTTTCTGTCGGCTTTGCACGCCCGGCGCTGCTCACCGGAATGAAATCACAGACAAAACGGTGGCAAAATCAACGCAGTGATAGCGACCTCAGGACCCAGGCTCGATTCGAACGAGCACCTCGCAGGTTAATGTGTTCGAAAGAATGGCCAACATTGTGAGCGAGTGCGGACCACCGCTACTGGACCTTTCTTGCTTGCAGGTTAATTGGATTACACTGACGACTTTACTGTTCGTCTTCCTCGCCACTCGCTGGATCTCCATGGCTCAACTAATTCAAAAGATTCCTAGCGCTCTGCTTAACGGCGTCGTCGAGTCTATGCCCAAACTCAACGAACCTGCGCAAGTGGGACAACGGAGGAAAAGAACGCAAGCATCACCATAGGGCCCAGGCGCGATTCGAACGAGCGATTAACATGGTAGTTGCGGAGCTCTCCCATTGTGTGCGAGTGCGGACCACCGACTGGGCCGTTCCTGCTGGCTGATTAACTCAATTACACCGGCGATTGTTCTGTTCGTTGTCCTCGCCACTCGCTCGTTCTCCGTGCCTCAACCAATTCAAAGGAAATTCGAGCGCTCTCCAGATCCGTCTTTCTACGCTCTGCTCAACGGCGTCGTCGATTCTATGTCCTAACTCAGTAAATCTAGGAGAATATGTCCTATATGACAGCCCCCCCTGTCGTAGATATCATCTACCTAGGCGCATCCTCTGCGGGTATTAATCCGTCTCACGCGGGGGCTCGACGTTAAACCTAGCGAGGACACGGTGAAAACTACCTTTTGCGAATTTCAGGATCAAGTTTATTGACTCTCGATGACCGCAAGAGATTCTATTCCGCCTCGCAGTCTTTATCCATGGCATTTAGATGCTCGCGGTTCATCGAATCCTGGCTGCTAATTGTATTATAAGACGCGTGGGGATGGGATTTATTTAGAAAATGGTTCTGGGGTCTATAAATTCCATCGCAGAAGACGGTAGTGAGCCAGAAACGACCCGCCTTGTAACATTGTTGCAGCCGTTTGGCGGCGTCAGGTTAAAGGACTGGGCAGCGGCAACAGCTCGGGCTTCTGGAAGCCACCTGAAACACAAGTCGTCAAACAGCAGCCAAAAGAGGAAGCTTTCGTTTTTTTTCAAAAAAAAACCGGGACACGGGGCCGCGTCGCAGTTGCTCGGAGTGGACACTGTAACCCAGGACAATAAATGATTTATTTGTTCACAGTCAACATGGTCGCAGGAACCGCGAACCAGAGGTTGACCTGGGTCCAGATATGACCTGCGGTCGACAATAAAATCCCCGATCTACCAGGAGACGTGAGAGTTACTGCGGCGATTCACAAGATTACAACACCTCATGATGCGTTGTGGGAATTTGCACTCCTTCGAGTGGTGACATCAGACCCTGGAGAAAGAAGTTCTTGATCGAGGGTCATTTATTTTGGTTTCATGGGAGTGGTTTCGTCAGTTCGAACTTCAACCGGCTTTAAAATTGTCGTATAGATGATTGAGGATTGGTATTCTCCCTTTATTATCCCAGCAATCATCTACACATAGCAGGTCAGGACCCTAGTCATTGGATCAGATCAAAGGATAACGACAACACACCTCATGGCGCGCGGTCCGCATCCGCTGAGTGGGATGGCATTGAACACCGCCTCCAGCGGCTTTTGAAAATTGCAGGTGGATTGATGAGCTGCAGTCGACATCGCAATCCACAGTACAACAGCTCGTAGGCCTGGTGCTCAAATCCGCCTATGTCCAAGAGCCCAGAAATTGATTCCAGCGGATGCCCGCCCGCCTCGACTCCGAGGTAGTGATGCTCCGGGCCCGGCTTCAAGCCCGAAGCCCGCCAGGCCAGGCCCGATGAAGCCCAAGCCCGGCCAGGCCCGACGGCGGGCCTGAGCGGGCCTCGGGCTTGGGCTTCAGATTTTTCAGGCCCAAGCCCAGGGCTCAAGCCCGGGCCTGGGTATCACCTATAAAGGTGAGCTTTCTTCGGGTCCAGAGACGGAAATTTCTTTGCTCGAAGGCCCACTAACTGGGAGCAATACAGTAATCACCTTTAGGGTTGAATCCAAGTCGAATCATGCATCGAAACTGGGTGAGAAGACCAACGGAAACCCCAATTCGCAATGGCTGAAAAAGGAAACATGGTTGAAAATTCCTGAAAACGTCGCGAGCAGGTATGCAAATATGATTTGGAGTGCTACATTAACGTTAACGATTCCGGAGCCTGACAACTGGTAAGCCTGCACAGCTCTTTGACTTTGCCTCGCAAGCCTGGGCCCAAGCCCGGGCTTCCAGGCCGAGCCGGGCCCGAAGCATCACTAGCCTCGAGATGAGGTCGTGGCGAGGTGGAAAGAAGTTTGTTTGAAAACGGCGTTGTTTTCTGGGCTGAACCGGTTATGCTTCAAGATTTCAGGGAGTCTGAAATGTAAATAATCTGCCTACAAATTTCAGCGCGGTTAGTCGTGAGATTCAAAAAGAATGACATCTCACTGCGGAAGGTGCGCGTCCGCCCTCTGCTGTGGTGTATTTGAGTTCAGTAAACACCAGTTCGCCTCCGGATGGGATACGGACGACGGGGCATCGATTCTATGTGAATATTAACCTTGGCACAGAACTGTGAAGTATCATTGGTACTTGAGTCAAAGAGGATCCGGACGCATCGCGCTAGTCAACACTCGACGCCGTGAAAGTAAAACAACTGGGATAAGGGGTGAATTCGGTAGCGTTCGCGAACTATTAAAAATGGACGGAGCTGGCCGGGGAGCCCGTCCTGAATCAGCGGGAACCTGGCGCTCCCCGCGTTGGAACAAGTGAGCGGGAATCCCACGAGAGCCTTAAACGAACCCAATCTGCGAGGAATGAGATGATTTGCGTCAGATTGAGGGAATTGATTAAGCGCGGAATTACAGTAAATTTGGATGAGTTTTAAAAAAGAAACAGTCAGTCTGAATCAACTTGATTGAAAACATCCTCAATGGGCTTGGCTTGCCTTGGGAGGGGTAAGCCTCTTTTCAGGTGTGCTCGTAGAGAATCTTGACGGAGGAGAGCGTTAATTTTCCCGGTACTCGAGTCGGGCAGAGCAGGCGTCGGTGATGGTAGACGCAAATCATAAATCGCGAGAAAGGAGCGTGGTTTTGAAGCGCGAGGACGAGTGCAACTGATGCCCCAAGGCGCGGGATTAGGACCGGGTGAAGCCTTGAGGGCATCGACGAGGAAATTTTGACGGTCCGAGATTAATGTTGTGCGCATACAGGGCGTGGAGTACTGGGAGTCGGACGCGAAGAATCTTGCGGCATCGGGCGCCATAAGAGAGCATTGGCACGTTTGTGGATTACTTGAGACAGTGGCAGTTGTGCCAGTGGTGCGCTGCACGGAATTGAGGGTGTTGTTATCGCAGGGCATGTCGGAAAAATCCTAGTCGGCTTTAATCGGCGTTGAACCGGTTCCAAGCCGTTGCATGGTCAAATGGTTTTAGGTGGCTTCGAACGCACAGGTCAGAATCCTCCAACCGCTTCCAAGCCACGGCGGAAGTTCCAAGGTCTGCTATGGCCCCAGGGTGCTTTAGGACCTTGGAACTGCTTGCATTGCGCTCAAACCCCCCTAAACAGCAAACGGTGCTCGTCCTCGCCGTCCTCCTCTTGAATTCTTAAATGGCGTACAAGAAACATAAAAGGCAAGTGTATTGGGAACTACTAGGAAGTACAT